TATTTACCTTTTTCACAAAGAAAACCGTGTGTACAAGACGACTTCTGTCGGTTACCGTCGTGCAGCGATTATTCGTTGTCCCGCTCGGCAATCTTCGTGCATGCTCGCGCGCCCGCGTACGAAATGTGACGACCTGCCTCAATAGTTGTCCATGTACAAGTTCTTGCCTTTCAGCATACTTTTCTTTGCTAGTACCTCTTTTTTCTGTTGCCAGTTTTTTAGTTTCACTATTATCATTCTTCTTCGTTGCTCTTTTCCAGTACGCGTCCTCCACTTCCACCTCTACCTGCAGTTCGCGTCTCATTCTTTCTATCTCTTCCTTGGGTGAGCCTTCTCTCGGTAAATCCTCTCCTTTCATAATTATATTATTCCTTCTTTCTCTTTTCTCTCTTGCCTCCTCCCTCTCTTCCAGTTGTATCATTCTTGTCATCTTCTTCTCTATCTGTTCTTCTTTGATCTCCAGTTCTTTCAATCTGTTTTCCATTGTCCTTTTTCCTTCTCCCACTCCTCTTGTTTCTTTTTCTATTTTTCTCTCACGTCTTGTAGTTCTGATCTTATTGCCCTATTTTCTTTTTTAATCTCTTCTGTATCATTCTTAATTGTTAGAATAATTTCCGTTAATTTATCCAGTTTATCCATGTCTAACTCTTTTTCGTTTTCTATATTCTTCTCCTCTTGCGTCCCCTCTGTTTCTGGAGTTTTTCCTGGTCTCTTAGTTGGAGGCGATCTGCTCACTGCCCTTGTTTTTTCAAACTTTTCAAGTAGTTCCTTCTCCGCTCTTATCCTATCTTCTTCTTCTTCTCTTTTCCTCTTAAACGTGTCAACAATCGACTCGAAGCTGCTGGTCCTTTGCCTTAGGCGTGCGGATGCCGCCTAAAAGAATAGCTCCGAGGTAACCCCTGCCTGGCGTAAGAGGTGTCCTGAAAGGGGAGAGGTGAGGGTCTGAAAGACCCATGGGGGTGGGCACAGCTGGGTACTGTGGCTCACCCCGCCCCCAATGTCAACGGGGGCGCGGCGGGTGGCCTGGTGGCACCCCCGCCGCAGCGCGGACGAATCAAGGTCCGTGCCAAGTAGATGGCCCTTATCAGGGCCAGGCCCGTGCTCTCAAGGGCCGAGAGGTGCGCGATGCTACGCGCGGCGCGGGGTCGTCTGGAGATTGCTACAGCGTGTCCCAGGCGAACCCCTATATAGCGCCAAGAAGTCCACCCCCGGTGGTTTTAGTGAGGTAGGCGCCCCCATTGCACGCTGGCCCCAGGTTTAGACAACTGTCCTGGGGCACAGGGGGGCGAGTCCCACACACCGCCCCGTCTCTTCCCAGAGAGTGATGGTCCATGAGGATTTCCACCGGGTCAAAAAAAAAATGGTCCTTTGCCTTCCAAGATGTTCTGCGTTGGTCGGCCTTCCTTTCTTTTTTGGCTCCTTTTGCCTATCCTTTCCTTCTCCTGTATTGCTCATTAATGGGTTCTCTGTCTCTCGTCTCTCTATGTCAGAGGTACCCCCTGGACGTTCGTGTTCGCTTTTCGGTGGTTTTGCGAACCCGTCAAGTGGCTTCTGTGTGAGTTTTCCTTTTTGTTTCCTAACCTCTTATGTTAACTCCGCGATATAAACTCCAGCGAAACGTCTCCCTTACGGTTCCTCTGCTGCTTCCTTATAGCTCCAGCTGTAATTGCACTTTTGCGCTTGCTGAAAACCTATAACAAAGTCGCCCTAGGGCGATGAAACGGCAGATAAATTCAGAAATAATCAGACGCGTTTGACTGACGTGCTTCTGTTTACTTACTCTCGGTTGATCCCCAAGAATATTCTTATTAGTGTAGGATATAGGGAGGATATGTATTGTTATGTGATTATTTTAGTTTATTATATTTTATTCTGTAAGCGGTTCGCGGAAATGTTTATGTGTGCGAAAGGAGCGGAAGCGTTAATTTTTATTTTGAATGTCGCGCGGACAGCGAGCGCTATAGAGTGGGTCAAGGGAGAGTGTGGCCAATAATCCGGAAGCCGCCATTTTGAGAACAATCAGATTGAATTAAGCGCGACTTTCGAAAGCGTATATACAATATTGTAAATGTGAGAGAACATTAGCTG